CCGATTTCCTGCTTGATGCGCTCGGCAGTGGATTCGCCGATCAGGCTGCCGTAGTTACGACGCACGGAATAGCAACATATCATACCTTTGGTAACAATCCTCAACTCTTGTCTTTCCCCTGTGTTGTGGTCGACTTTGCACCACTTTTACCCCCCCCCCCCTCCCTTCCCTACTCTGCCGCCCCGACACCCTCGGCGGTGAGACGAAGGAATAATTATGCAGAACGACGAGGTCTACCAGGCCACTACGGCAATCTTGAGGTCTCTCACGAAGGGTGACTACCAGAGCCCCGGTGATGATCCCAGAATCTGCTTACCTGGGAACGACACCTTTGAGAAGCGAACCCTAGAACGAGAACTACTTTCCTTTGTCCATCGATTCCGTCATTTAGAGGCAAAGGCTGCTACTGCCAGTCGGAATTTTCCAGATACACCAAATGAGAATGGTGCTCCATCGTCCCCCTTTGGTCTCGGTGCCACGGGCCGTAATCTTTCTCCCATCCCCATCAATGGTGCCTTGACCGGCGGCCAAAGGAATGGCGGTAGCCCAGCAAGCGATACCAGTGATCAGTCTAGTCAACTCGAAGTTCTTCATCAACATGTGAAATCTCAAGAGCAGGAGATTCAGGAAAACCGGAAGATAATGAGGAATTTAATGGAGGAGGCACAGAAAGCCAAACAAGCTCCACAATTACCAATAGACGAAGCCTCTAAAGTAGAACGACTCCAGAGGGAGCTCAAGAAGTCACAGCAGGCTAATGAGGCTTTCTCGAAAGCTCTCCGTGAGATTGGGGAGATTGTAACGGCCGGTACGTTTTCACTCATCACTCTGAAATGGATTCTGTGTGATTGCTTGGAGACAATCACTGACTTTTAGACGAACGAACCGACGATAGTGGCTAAGGGGGATTTGAATAAGAAGGTCACCGTTCATGCTATAGAGATGGACCCCGAAATCACTACGTTCAAAAATACCATTAACACGATGACGGATCAACTGCAAACATTTGCCAGCGAAGTGTCTAGGGTTGCCCGGGAAGTGGGAACTGAAGGGCGGCTCGGTGGGCAAGCCAAGATCGCGGGAGTCGAGGGAACTTGGATGGAATTGACCAACAACGGTATTTACACAACATTTACACGTTTTACGTCCTTGCCTCATTTCTTCTGCGTTGTCCCGGAACGAGGGGCCAGCGCGGGATGGAATATAAAACTATTGGTTGCTGACGTGCGCTATGATTAGTTAACGTCATGGCTTCCAATCTCACCAACCAAGTGCGAGAAATTGCGGACGTTACCACTGCCGTAGCCAATGGTGATCTCTCCCGAAAGATCCATGTGCACGCACAAGGGGAGATCTTAGAACTCCAGCAGACTATCAACTCTATGGTTGACCAACTTCGTACTTTTGCGTTTGAAGTCACTCGGGTGTCTCGGGAAGTCGGAATCGATGGTATCCTCGGTGGCCAAGCTGAAATACGCGAGGTGATTTCCCCTTCATCGCACACCATTACGGAATCAGTCCTAATGATATGTTTGCGATGTTCAGGTCAAAGGAACATGGCGAGAGCTCACGGACAACGTCAACGCTATGGCTGCCAATCTCACGGATCAAGTCAGAAACATAGCTGCTGTTACCACTGCCGTCGCTGAAGGAGATCTAACCAAGAAAGTGAGCGCATTATGCAAGGGAGAAATCCTACAGCTCAAGGAGACTATCAATAAGATGGTCGACCGTCTTCAAAACTTCGCTACTGAGGTCACAAAGGTTGCTCGAGAAGTCGGAACAGAAGGCAAGCTTGGTGGACAGGCTCGTGTTGAGGATGTCGAGGGCACATGGAAGTCTCTTACCGAGAATGTCAATAGTATGGCTCGTAATCTTACCACCCAAGTGCGGAGTATCGCCTCTGTTACCACTGCCGTGGCGGAAGGAAACTTGTCGCGGAAGATCGATGTGCATGCTCAAGGGGAAATTTTACAGCTTAAAGACACTATCAACAAGATGGTCGAGCGTTTGCAGAACTTTGCTACCGAGGTCACCAAGGTTGCTCGAGAGGTCGGAACCGATGGTATCCTGGGAGGGCAAGCAAGGGTACGGATCTCTCCTAGGTAGCCCCCTGTGATGAGTGGTTTGTTAACGACATCCCATGATGCAGGTTCAGGATGTTGAAGGAACATGGAAGGATCTCACCGATAATGTCAACATCATGGCCAACAATCTCACGACACAAGTGCGAAGTATCGCCGATGTAACCACCGCCGTGGCTCAGGGCGATTTGAGTCGAAAGATCACCGTGCACGCTCAGGGAGAAGTGTTGGCCTTGAAGTCGACTATTAATAAGATGGTGGATCGATTGGAAGTCTTCTCGCGAGAGGTCAAGCGGGTAGCAAGGGATGTGGGGATTGATGGTAAATTGGGTGTGCAGGCCGAAGTGAACGATGTCGATGGCTTATGGAAGGAAATCACCAGCAATGTTAATACTATGGCCCAGAATCTTACCACCCAAGTCAGAGCCTTCGGATCCATCACTGCCGCCGCGGCAGATGGGGATTTTAACCGCTTCATCACTGTTGAGGCTTCCGGGGAAATGGATGCTCTCAAGACCAAGATTAACCAGATGGTGTTCAATCTTAGGGATAGCATCCAGAAGAATACCGCTGCCCGGGAAACTGCGGAATTGGCGAACAGAACTAAGTCCGAATTTTTAGCTAACATGTCGCACGAAATCAGAACACCAATGAATGGTATTATCGGAATGGTATGGCTAATTTCCCCGATGGAAAGCGCTGGTCAAGAAGTAGAAACTAACATTTATCCAGACGCAACTAACTCTTGACACCGATTTAACCCAATATCAGCGAGAGATGCTAAACATAGTCCACAACCTTGCCAACAGTTTATTAACTATTATTGACGACATCCTCGATATTTCAAAGAGTATACCCTCGAACCCCCCATGGCGCTATTCATTTGTTTCTTTATTAATACCCTTTTAGTTGAGGCAAACCGTATGGTCATGGAAGAGATTCCATTCTCGTTGCGTGGGACTGTTTTTAATGCCTTGAAGACCTTAGCCGTCAAGGCAAATGAAAGGTTTTTGGATCTCGTGTACTGCGTCGATAATGTCGTCCCAGATCACGTTGTCGGCGATTCTTTCCGTTTAAGACAAGTAATCTTGAACCTTGTCGGAAATGCCATCAAGTTTACGGAGAGCGGGGAGGTCAAATTAACCATCCGGCAACACGACCAGTCGCGGTGCTCGGATAAGGAATATTGCTTCGAATTCTCGGTTTCGGATACCGGTATCGGAATTCAGTCGGACAAGCTGGATTTGATCTTTGACACCTTCTGTCAAGCGGATGGATCGACAACCAGAAAGTTCGGTGGTACTGGTCTTGGATTGTCCATCTCGAAGAAATTGGTCAACCTCATGGGCGGCGATGTTTGGGTCAAGAGCGAATACGGCCAAGGAAGTACCTTTTACTTTACCTGCACGGTCCGGCTCGCTACCACGGATCTCGGCTTGATTGTGCCACAACTCAAACCTTACAGAGGACACCATGTTCTATTTATTGACAAAAACCGGGAGAACGCCGATATCCCCGAAATGCTGAGAATGCTCGACTTAGTGCCTATTGTAGTTCACACAGCCGAGGAAGCGCCACTACCGGATCCAATAACCAATGGACGGAAGGGGGTTATGTACGACGTCATACTGGTTGATTCTATGGATACTGCCCTGAAACTGCGTACATTGGACGAGTTCAAGTATATACCATTAGTCCTCTTATGCCCAGTAATCAAGGTTTCCCTGAAATCTACTCTTGATCTGGGCATCACATCTTATATGACTACCCCCTGCTTGCCAATTGATCTCGGTAATGGCATGATCCCAGCATTGGAAGGAAGGGCAGCTCCGTCGGTTTCCGAAAACTCGCGGTCGTTCAACTTGCTCTTGGCGGAAGACAACATTGTCAACCAGAAATTAGCTGTCAAGATTCTCGAGAAGTATCACCATACAGTTGAGGTGGTGGAGAATGGCCTCCAAGCCCTGGATGCAGTCAAGAACAAGCGGTATGACGTTATTCTCATGGACGTCCAGATGCCAGTAATGGTGAGACTTTTATCCCTCCGTATTTGTGCCCTTGAAAGATCTCACAGTTCCCTAGGGTGGCTTCGAGGCCACTGCAAAGATCCGGGAATACGAGAAGGATGCCGGGTTGCCACGGACACCCATTGTTGCCCTAACGGCTCATGCTATGTTGGGTGACAGAGAAAAGTGCATCCAAGCACAGATGGATGAGTACTTGTCGAAACCATTGAAGCAGAATACACTCATCCAGGTTATTCTCAAGGTGATTCTAGAATGCCATCCCACTTACATACAACAACTAATAGTCATCCAGTGTGCCACCCTTGGGGGGCCGCTTCTTGAGAGAGGAAGTGGAATATTGTGCTCGATCCCCGACGATAGCGAGCGAATCAGTCGAGTTATCAATGGTGCAACAACGCAGATAAGGCCTAGACCCATGCTTGAGCCACGGACCGCAACGGCAAATTCACCGATTCCGGGTGCGAGCACCTCAAGTCCGCCCCTAGAGCATGCGGATACGGATCCCATTGAGCGGGTGAGCCAAGATGTAATCCTTATCGTTGTGGAGGATGAAAGCAAGATTTTGGGACGAATCTCTGCAGTACTAACACCCTTGCGTTTTGATAGTCTTTGTTCCGGTCCCTAAGCAGTTAGACGCGCATCCCGGGGGGTGGGCGACCCTTTTTTTACTCCCTTTTCGTTTCCTAGTTGTTACTTTTGGAGTGGAGTTATATGCACGAGGAAAGGTTTGATGAAGTCCTGTTTGCATTTATCTTGCGAGCGAATGAGCCTTTCCCGTCGCTGCGGGACACTGTCGGTAGGGGTTCTTCATTTTCTGCACGTTAAAATTCTGGCATATCTTTTCCCGAACCCCCCCCCTTTTTTTTGGCCGGTATACAAACCGAACAGAGGGTTGCCTGTGGGTGTTTCTATTTATCGATTTATTGGAAACGTTGAAAATGGGTGGACGACATGACCGGTCCCTTTTCCTTTCTTTCGTCATTTGGCCCTCTTTCTGTGATATCTAGTCATAGTGGATTGGAGATGTTGATGATTTATCCAAAGAAAATACCGGGGGCCAACCCATATACATGTTTGCTTATTGAATTGTTATTTGCTGTTACTTTATGGTCTGCTTTCGGCTCGGTTCGGGGGGGTTTTTTTTATATCCTTTTCCCAATTTTATCTGGGTTAGTACAGGTCTTTTTTTCCCTTTTTTTCCCTTTTTCACATTACTTTCTCAATATACCTTATTGCTTGCTACCGCCGCTGCATATCCGTATCTATTCTTAGCTTCGTTGTTGATCCTTCTCCCTTCTCATTTTTCTCTCTTCCCTTCGGCTTATACCATGCATCTATCCTATCTACCAACTAACTCCTTTATTTTATCTCCTAATTTCAATGAACAACCATCCTTTATCTTGTGGGGCCATCCCTCCCCCTTCCCCTTTTCCCATTGCAAGTGAAAAGTATATGGAAGGTTCTTTCTTCCTTTCTTCCTTCTTGGTGTGATTTCTTATGGGCGGATGAACGAATGGATGGATTTGAAAAGGAAGGCCATATATTACAGTAATAGGCTGCTCCCGGGGTTTTCACCGGCTCTGTGCTCGACTCCTGATGTTTGGCTATTTTTGGCTTGCCCACGCTCCTTATATGTGATGTATAATTCAATGTGAAGTTTGGTATTTTATATATATATTACCGCATTATTTGGCGAGAACCGGCAGGTGTTAGTACGTTGGATTAAAGAGACGGCTTGGAAGGAATCTCAGATCAAAACATGAGACAACGATTAATAATTCTTAAGATGTCAGGGGATAGTTTCAATGTCATATGACAAGACATTTCCTTCTCCAGTGTAATACCAGTATCTTACATGGCCTGAGATAATTCAACTCCTGTTATTTGCCCATCAACATGTCTCTCATATCAGGAATTAAAGAAGGTTTACCTGTTTATCATTCAGGTTTAGATTAACTCTAAGCCTCCGGGTCTGTCCCAAGAACTCCTATTTTATAAAAGATTCACTAGCCTCCAGTCCAGCAGAAAGGACAAAAATCAGGAGATAGAATAGGTTATACATTGTAGTCAGTATCAGAAAAACCACAAAAGTTTTTTAAGCAAGAAAGGAAGTTTACTGCATACATACTTAGGAGTTTAAACTTCAAGTTCTTTCATGATCTCACCACTCTCAGGATTCTATCGGACCTTTAACCTTTTGCCATTCAAATGAAATTGAGGTCTGCTGCACATTTCTTGTTTCTTGTTTGACTTGGTAAGGATAGAAGAAGCCAAGTAGTATCAAGACAATTATTAATAGACTGAGGAGATCTTGTACCAATTCAAATATGAGGAGATATCAGTAGCCTAAGTTAGAGGAGAGGCTTTACTTTACATATAGGTTAAGGAGAGATGAGACAAAAGTACCACCACCCAGTTGGCTCCACTGAACTAGTAAGGGGTACTTTAAGAAGCACTATCTAATATTAGATATTGGTACTTTTATTGTCTCAGATGGATGGCTTTTTTGGATTCCTCTCTTAGGATAATATCAACTTACAATTTCCAACAAACAAAGATTAGAATAGTTCTTGTCTTAATTGTAATAAAAGCTCTCCTTGAAAGATGGATCCTAAGGATGTAACAGAACTAAACTTTAATATTAATCACCTACAGCTCTGGCAAATGTGGGAGAATAAGGTAACTAGTAATTAATATTAGTAGGCTACAGCATCACACAATTAATAACTTAAAAGTTTATTAATTATATGGGAGTAGGAGAGTTCTCCTGTAAAGTTAAGTAGTCACATTTATACTGAGAAATACTTTCTTATCAGTTTACTCAAGTCGGTACGAGTATGTTCTTTTCTACTTAAGGTTATTGAGTACCATTTTTGTAGCTCTGAAGAGCTATTAGTATTAGTCCACTCTAGCTGTAAGCTTCTGTATTAGTAACAATAAATCCTGTACCAGATGTACAGGAGGCACATCTAGAGGCTGAGTAGTTCCCTCCCTATATCTGCTATATCATTTGTGTCTAGTATTATATGAGTGTGTTTTTATTAAAACCAGCATATGGGCACTCAACCCCCAAAAATTTCTTTTGGTATAACCACCTAGATAGACCTTTAGAGCATACTCCCAATAGCTCAGAAAATATTCTAGAAGCTCCAATGACCTCTGTAGCATGTTTTATGTAGAAAAATATGAAATATCTCAAAAATGATTTTTTTCTATAAAAAAATACTACAGCTCTCTCGCTACATGTAGAACCTTTTTTTAAATCAAATGAGTACTTAGTTCATGTGCTATTTATTATTAAAGTCAAGATACTTTTTCTGTAAAAATGTGTTGCATGAAGTACTTCTTAAATCCTGATGATAAGTAAGCAATATGTGAAAGTACAAACCTATTCCAAATGCCTAATTTCTGAATTATAATTGCTATAGAATAAGGCTAGCTTTGGGATCTTCTTCTATCTCTATTACTATTACAATATTTTACTGTTTTCAATTTGTTTCAATTGATACTTTTAATTTCCCCCTAAATCTCTCTTACCAACTCTAAATTTGTTACAATGTTGAGCTCAGATGATAGTGATTGGAATGATGCAAGTGATAGTAAGTTTCCCAAAGTTAGAGATAAAGAATATTGGATTATAGACATAGAATGTACTAAGAGTAAACAAGGTGCTTCAGAATCCAGTTATTCAAGTGAGGTATACTCTGATAAGATGAGTGCTGATGAGTTGAGTGAGGTAAAGGTATATACCTCTAGTTTGAAATAAGAGATACAGATAGTCTAATAGTAGTAACTAGGATGATAACTATGAATATCATCTACAAAAGTTAAGTAGAGTCTGTCATTGTCCACTGAAATGTAGTGAAAAGGCATCAGTAGGCCAATTGCGTAGCTGGACAAAGTCCAACTATGCCATGCCACTCAAGCAAACAAAACTTCTTGCCAGTTACTTGATCTCAGCAACAATGGAGATCACCAAAGTAAATCGTAAAAGAAGCTATAGTCAGCGTTCTTTTCTTACTCAGGTAAGTTCCCCAGGTATTAACCAAGGTGAAATAGGTTCCCAGTGTCTAAAGAGACATCATTATATACTGCCATTTCTTGGATCAGTTTGTCGTCAATTGTTTGCCTGGTATTGGAGATTGGGACGCTATCATCTACAATCTCTAGTAAAGCACTTCCAGCAAACCCAAGATCCGATTCCTCCTGTGCATTGGCATAGCAATAAGCTATCTCATCATTCCCTTTCAACCGAGGTATCCCAGAAGATGAAGTCATTTCTCAAGACATTAAAGGAAGATTCAGGGGAACTTGTAGCTACAAGAAGCTATAAACGAACTATGAAGGATGGTAGAGTAACAACCACTATTGAGCTAGACAATCAGGTTCTTCTACCTTCTTTCTATACCTATCGTGGACTCCATCGGGAGTTCCAGAGGTTGAACCCTGGGGTAAGTATCTCCCATTCTGGCTTTTGGCAATTTTGGAAAGGGAGTGAGGAGTTTAAGTCCATGAAAATTCATTCACCTGCTAAGGACATCTGCGACCATTGTACAATTCTCAAAGCCAAGCTGCGGCCATCAAAATCACAGAGTACTCTAGATGGCGAACAGGTTCTGGCTTCAGAGGAGTAGTCAGAGGCAGAGCAAAAGCTAACTAAATATCGCAATGAGTATCGCCAATGTCGTGACTTCTATGAGGCTACAATTTCCTAATCAACACAATATCTCCAAGATACAGCTTGCCACTCTTTTGATTTTCAGCAGGTGGTTGAAATTCCCAAACTACCCCAACAGCCTGGCCAATGGTATTTCTTCTCTGCATTTAAGTTATACTCTTTTGGGATAGTAGATGAAAATCGCAATGATAGCTGCCACTACCATTATTTATATACAGAGGCCCAGCAGAGGAAAGGTCCTAATCAAGTTGTTTCTCTACTAGATACCTATTTGAAGTCAGGTGGAAAGCTTAAGCCACATATCTACCTGTGGGCAGATAACTGTGGAGGGCAGAACAAAAACTGTACTATGATATTCTATCTCTGCTGGCTAGTCCAGCAGGGATTAACTGACAGTATAGAACTGTGCTTTCAGATCAAGGGTCATACAAGGAACTCAGTGGACCGTGGATTTAGCACAGTCAAATATGCTACCTCAAGACGCAGTATTTAGACCCCTGATGACTATAGTAAGACAGTTTTAGAGAGTACTCTTGCTGGAACTATAAAACCCATTAACCTCTTTGAATCTTCTGCACCAAATATTTTTTGCGACTGGGAAAAGGTACTCAGTACTGTAATAAAGCCACTAAAAGGTATTCAAAGCTTTCAGGTATTCCTTTTTCTGAAAGAATTCCCAGGAGTTGGCTTAACGAAGGAATTACCCTTTAGTAATTGGCAATAGTTTGATTTAAAAAAGGCTGGTGTTGATGAACTACAAATTCAGAATATAGTGCCTGAACTAATTCCACCGATTGGACTCAAGCCTGAAAGACACTATGACATGTGGAGTAAGTATGGTCCCTATGCTCCAGACGATATTTGTTCTACCTGGCTTTATACAGAGCCTACTATAGATACAATTCAATAGGCCAAGGCAGTCAAGGTAGGAAGAACTAAGAATAAGA